CCCACAGCGCTGTGGGAGGTGGGGGGAAGTCTGGGAGTTGAAGTCCATGCATCTTAAAGTTGCCAGTGTTGAGAAACACTGTCTTAGAGGTTAAAAATTAGACTTAAAAATGGGGGGATTGGAATAGCTGTTTCCCATTAAACTACTGAGACAAGCCTGGGCACTTGTTTAATACCAACAGGGTGATCCTGCAGGTAACATAATGCCACTTCAGGCCCTACATAAGCGCCAACTTCGACATCCTGAAGTTGGCACAGGATTAAATATAGGCTGTTTCATTTGCACAGGAGGGCAAGTGAAATCCCCAAGCATTGAGCCACCAATAAACCTCCAACCATTTTTAGAATGGAGCAAATCTGCTTTTTTTTAACCATAGCCAAGTTACTTCTGCTCCAGCTTGGGGGAAGTGTTGTGCCTTCCTGAAACAGTGTTTGAAACTAATCATGGCTTAGCCTAACACACAAAGCCAGCAACTGCAGCAAGCCATAGCTGAATATAACATGGGTGGCTATATCAATCAAATGAATTAATGAATAATATGTGAAACCAGCACTGGAGATTGCACCCCGTCTGTTCTCCTAAGCATTGTTTATTTTATTCTTAAAATAAAATTTCCCCGACAGTGTAGAATGTAAAAATTAGAGCAGCGTTTCTCAATCTCTGCAACTTTAAGCCATGCAGACTTAAACTCCCAGAATTCCCCCTGGTTGACGGAATCCTGGGAGTTGAAGTCCACACAGCTAAAAGTGGCTGAGGTTGAGAAACACTGGATTACAGAGACCTTGATGATACTGATCTAGGAGTTGCTCCCGCTATTACCTTTCTGGCTTGTTCTTGCAAATACTGGATTTGTTCCGCAATGACGGTTAACCTGTTGCAGGCATTCGCCCGGACAAACTCATCCGCCTGGGGAGACAAAAGTCAAGCATTTGAAACGGGAAAGTTCAGCCTGAATCATAGCTTATACGACAACCACCATGCCCGCTTAGATAAAGATGCGAAGTGCCCAAAACACTTCTACAATTCAGTCACAGGTGAATGATAGAGTTGGAAGGCTCCTAAGAGGTCATCGAGTCCATCCCCCTGCACACTGCAGGATTTACTACTGAATAATGATAATTTATTAAGCATGCATGTCGCCTGACTCCCAACAACGCTGAGCATCGCACAACAACTAACCAAAAGAATCACAATAAAAGCAATAAAAAATAAAGATAAAAGTTGGCAAGGGTGATAAAGTGAGGGGGGGGTCTTTTTTGGATGGAGAGGCTCTTCTAAAAACAGCAGAGGGGGGCATCCAGATTTGGGGGAGCCTCGTTCCAGAGGGCAGGCGCTGCTACAGAG